TCTCTCTCTCTCTCTCTCTCTCTCTCTCTCTCTCTCTCTCTCTCTCTCTCTCTCTCTCTCTCTCTCTCTCTCTCTCTCTCATTCACACGTTCTCTCCCCCTCTCTAACTCTCCCTCCCCCTCTAGGTACGTTAGATCTCCACTCCCCTCACTCATAACACAAGTGTTCCCCTGCGGAGGTGTTGTCATTACAAGAAAGTGTTGCTTCCTTCTCTATGCTATCATCACTAGCACTAGTCTTCATTCATCCTGCTCCCGTAAAACGACGGGGACACTCGTTTTACGAGCGGCCGCTCGGAGCGCTGCCGGCGGTCGACGCGACCCGCGTGACCGCGGACGGTGCTCACACGCACGTCCGCGCCCGTCCGCGCGCGTGTATGTAATAGCACTGTCGTTAACGACCACTCCACGATTTGTTCGCGATTTTTTTAATGGCGGTCGTTAAATTCGGACGGTGTCGTCTGTTGGCACGTCACGTGTTCGCATCACGTGTGCCGGTCACGTGCGGTGTTGCCGCCCGCGGGGCTGCGGCCCCCCTACGTGCGCCTGTTACGACATAGCTATTAAATAGCTATTGCTGTATCCGATCCATTAAATAATAGCTCAATCTCTCCACACCCTCTCACTTGCTCTCTCGCTCGCTTTCTCTCTCTCTCTCTCNATGACAAATAGTGTCATAGGAGAGCGTATATGCGTATGTCGTATTTGTCATAGATGCAAGCAGAACTTGTTGCCATCCGTCTGACCTGGCAGTGATATTGACCAATTGCTATTCAACCGCTATTATAAGTATGGGATATGGTAACTGCTCCATTCGTCTGAGCGAGTTAACCGCGCCTTAGATATTGTTGCCAGGTCGATATGCAGCTAGACCAGAATATATTCTGGTAGCGTATATATATATACGCTAACCTGTGCATTTTGCAACATATACTTCGTTACTAATCGCTGTCTTTAGAACGCGCTATCGAAACAAAGATTGGCTTGAGCTGACTGACAATCATGGAAGGCAGATTAAGTCGATTACAATCAATGAGAAGGATAACTACTAACGATTAATTACTAACGATTAATTACTAACGATTAATTACTAACGATTAATTACTAACGATTAGTTACTAACGATTAATTTCTAACAATTAATTACTAACAATTAATTACTTATAATTCCTACAAACCTTTATTATTTAATGTTAAGTTATTTTTGATAAAAAAAGTTAAATTATTACATGATTTTTCCTCGTAATATTAACGATCGTAAAACCCTAACCCGTATATATATAATATAAATATAATATAACGCTTCCGCTGTCAATTACTGCAAAATGTTATCAAATAATTTACATTAAACAAAAGTTGTTTAACTGAATTAAATTTTTTTTAAATCCGAAAGTGTACATTTAAATGATGATAAATAAGATCCCGTAAAATTAAAAAAAGAAGAAGAATTTAATCACCTTTCTGCCGGCGCGATTGTTGTGAAGGTTCATCAGTGACCTTGCATCGCCCTCTATCTCCCGCGCGTCGACGAACTTTCTCGTCAGCTTGACGCCATACTTGATGTCCGCACTGCAGCCACCCCACTTCCATCCCTCCATCGCGTAGTGGCCCTCCTTAGTCTTGTCGCAGCCGCAGTTAGTGAGGTTGCCTTGACTACACGCCTGCGTGATCGAGTAGGTGACGCCTGCAGAGCTGATGGCGTACGTGTACGCTGCCTCACGACTTCCTGTGAAGGTGCGAAGGGGGAAATTTATTATTATAGGTGTTATTTAATTTAAAATGTGGTAAATTAATTGCCATGGGTTTTATTTAATTTAAAATGTGGTAAATTAATTGTCATGGGTTTTATTTATTGTTATTAATTATTATGTTTATTTGTGAAGATTTCTGTGTAGTGTGTGTAGCTATTTTTTATTTTTTATATAATGTTATTTTTCTATAATTGTATATTTCTATTGTGTTTAGTTGTGGAGATTTCTGTACGTTAAAGGCTGCGCCTCGCGACTTCCTGTGAAGGTGGGGAGATAGAAAGGGAAAATTAATTATTATAGGTTTTATTTAATTTAAAATGTGCTTAATTAATTATCAAGGGTTTTATTTATTGTTATTAATTATTATGTTTATTTTGGCGAGACTTCTCTACGTTTATGCTGTCGCACGGCTACCTATGAAAATGGTAAGATAGAGGGGAAATTAATTATTATAGGTTTTATTTAATTTAAAATGTGCTTAATTAATTATCAAGGGTTTTATTTATTGTTATTAATTATTATGTTTATTTTGGCGAGACTTCTGTACGTTTATGCTGTCGCACGGCTACCTATGAAGGTGGTAAGATAGAGGGAGAAATTAATTATTATAGGTTTTATATCTACCTCTATGTGTACACGGGGAAAGATATAGATGGTGATCATAATTATTATTTATATGATTCCTTGTGGAGATGTCTGTTCCTGAGAAATCGCCTCGCGAAGAAATTGGGAGTACATATAGTTATTATAATGTTTCCTTGATGGAGTATAACAATCGTCATAACTACCTATATACGCGAGGGAAACATATAATAAAAGGGACAATAATATTAACAAATATTATTATCAACATTCTCTCGGTCTCCTGGTAGAGCATAAGGGGCAACTACCAATGTGCGAGAGGGAAAGATATAATAAAAGATAATTTTCTGTCGCCTGGGGAAGCATCAGGGGCGACTATACCTATATAAGGGTGGGAAGGAAAAGGTGGCAAATAGCTATTTAATCTATTATTATATGTATAATTAATTAATTATAGTTAGTATAATGTATCATTGTAGGGTAATGACTCCTGGTTAAGCACATGGTTCCTGCCTGTATATGGGGAAGATAAATACGGGAAAACAAGTAACCTAATTTCTATTTTATGAATTAAATAATTAATTATTACTATTATATATAGGTTGAGAAGTAGGAGGAACGCACGCGGGGAAGGAATGAGGCAGCGATTGTCCAAGAAATACAAATATGACAATATAATATAATATATATTATAATAATAACAGTATAATTGACAAATATGATGTAAACACCGGCAGACGGCGCTCCGATTGAAATACAGCCATAATAGTATGTGCCTATAAATAAATAAATAAATAAATAAATATTAATTAATTAAATAAATAAATATCTAATAAATAAATAAATAAATAAATAAATAAATAAATATCCAATAAGTAAATGTCTATCCAATCTAAATAATACAAAAATATTACGAGCACACTTTATAGATCATGTATGACTCATATGCCGCAAACTCTGTTCGCAACCATTTTGTTTTCCAACCCTGGATTAGAACCTTGATCAGTGTATCCAACCTTGACCAGTCTAACGAACATTGACCAGACTAATGCACTTTGGCCAGACTATTGGATTTTAACCAGACTGTCGGAGAACCACAGAGGAAATGAGCCGGTGTGAACCCTTTGCTGCGCGCCGGCATGTTGTTTATACAACAGGCGCGGTTGACATAGGAACGCCGATATCTACAGACGAGAAGCAATCAACACAGAAATTTATCTATCTATCACGCCTTTCTGACGAAATTAGCCGCGCGGTGATTGCATATGGCTACACATCCACGCGCACGCACGCGCAGACGCTCCCGCGAACACCTGCGCGATTTCTGTGTCGGCGCTCCCCCTCTCCCTCTTTCTCTTTCCCTTTCTCTCTTTCTCTCTCTCTCTCTCTCTCT